CATTATTTCAAAGACAGATAGACTTGGTCTTTCCCAGGCAACTGACATGCCTGTAACAATGTTTATCAGAAACAGGCCATCCCTCCTCTAAATTGCTGCTGAAAAGGATTTATCAGTCTCTCTCAATGTTGTTTTCTGTTTAACTGACACATTTTCAATATTTTTTCCCACATAGCAACATCAAATTGCTTGCCCCTTCCCTTCAAAAAAATCTCTACTTTTACCCAGAGTGAAAGACTATTATTCTCTACTGTACATTTTTAGATGTATTGTAATATTAGACTATTTATTTCCCCATCAACCTGAGCTAATTGACGTAACACACTATATTAAAGGGTTGGTAACATTAACTATTATAAAGAGCATGTCTTTTTTATCTCATTTAGCTGTCTGAAGAACAATGGTTAATATCACCACATCACATAAAGCGGTTAGCAATTATAGTGTTAAATCCAGTAAAGATTATTAACTATTTTATGTAATTTATTCTGAAGTTGACATTCCAGCAGTATTCTCACATTTTTACACTAATTAAAAAGCAATTACAGGAATTAAAAATACTTAATAGATCTATGTATATAATATACACACAAATGACTTTATAAAGTAATAATTTTCCTCTGCCAGTAAAATTATAGTTACGGTTCTGACAACATATACACATTATAAATGACAGTGTTATTGTGTGTGTGTGTGTGTGTGTATTAACTCTATGAATTTTCAAGACAATACACTTTTTGAAGTAGTAAGTCTCAGACCGACTTTACTTTCAGATATGTTTTGTATTAAAGTGATGTGACTGTTTCATTTATGAGGGGGACCAAAAAAGTGTATTTATTCTGCATGTGGAATTATAGGTCTGTAATTCACAACCTGCATTTTTGTACATTTACTATACAAGTTGTCATACGACTACATATTCATATATCTGTGGGATTACTATTATTTATTATGATATCTATGAGCACTAGCATCAATGGTATTACTTAGATTTAGAATGGAGAATCAGGGGTTTTGTAATGAAAATACTTAGAATAGCCTCATACAACATGTCAGAGGAAAGCTGGAAGTTTTGGCTGCAACAAATGCTGTTCGCTCCCAAGGATGAAGTTTGGGATAGTGGAACAAACACTTTAACTGGATATTATTGTTTATATTAGGGATGTTAGCGTGCAGCTGAACAACCGTTTAACCAATAAGCTGATACTTATCGGTAATGGTATCAATTGCCTACCCTCAGAGGGAGTAACTCAAACAATCTAATGGCACCAAGTGCCCAGGCAACCAGACAAATGTCTGTGGAGCACCACACCGTCTACCCTATAGTACAAGTGTCCCCGAGGCAAGTTTAAGGAACAGAAACCTTCTACGGAACCAACAATGTTCAAAAACACTAAAATTATCACAGAAAGATTAGGTCCCAAAAAAACAGGTGATTTTGCCATGCCAAAAAACCCACAACAAAGCACAACTTTATCAAGTGGCTAAGGCATGTGTGTTCTATTATCATCTAATTTACACCCATAGCAGGACTAAACAAGTTATATAGCAACGTGCTTAAAAAGAAGCCTAACAGTTCACTGGAAAATATCTGTTGCTCAGATACAAACCAATGAATCTTTGGGAAGCAACTCAAAGAGAAACAAAAAACAAAAAGCCACTACCTAAGAAGAGGAAGTGAAGTGATATTCAGATTATTTCCATTCTCTTGTACGTCAATATGTCATATTATCAGGCTGGCAATACTATAACACAGAAACGATTTTAAAATTTCTGTCAGAGTCTGCTTTTGATTATTTGTGCACATCACATCTTTTCACTGTACACTGCAACACTAAGTGCCTCAACAATGAAACCTTAAGGTTCCTGCCAAAAAGACAAAATTATACACCTATTTTGAACCTAGAAGTGGCTATCAGTTTATAAAGCAGGTTTGCCTGCCAAAACAATAACCTAAGTAGACAAAACCCAAGACATCATGGAAAGCATTCTTCTACACTGCAGGAGTTATGATGGATTGGATTGAAACAACAGGAAGTAAGTCAGTATAGTAGGATAAAAACTAAATGGAAAATACAAGTTGGCATTGCTAGTATGTTTATGAGGACAATGTAATATAGAACATTTGCAATCTTCTGTAGACCTGGGGCATTGTTTCCTATACCCACTTACCAGCATCCATTATGCTCTCAACATATTACACAATAGCATTATTTTAAGTAGCAAGAACAGGAAATAAAGGATATTACAGAAAGGTGGTCTGCTACAGTTTACATTAGGTAGAAAAGTCAAAATAATTAACTTCATATAAAAAAGTTTAAATGCTGAATATCACTGCACTAATCTAGATGTCAGTGGTACACAAACTTGCATTATTAAACAGCAAAGGTCTTTCCTTGGGCAAGGGAGGCTGGTGTTATGCTCTTGTTAACTTTATATATCTCAACTATCAAAATGCATGAAGAATTACAATATGTACATGTAGAACATTTCATTTAAGTGTCCTCCAAAATGCAATAGCCATTATATTGGCACCAACAGAATTGGGTAATACAAATGAAATGACCCCCAAAAAAAGGCATTTAAGAAGACACAATATGGTTTCTTTCAAGGTTTTATAAATTTAAGTAACCCATTCAATCCAAGGACTATGCCTACTTGGCAGGGTGAAACACCTGTCCTCCCAGGCACCAGTGGAAGGAGTACTATTGCAAACATTCCTCCGTCACCCTACATGCAGTTCCAAACTCTCTTGTACCAGGGAGGGAGAGTAAAGAAGTCTCAAAGGTGTAGCCATATTAATCTTGTAACTAAAAAAAAAAAAAAAAAACTCTTAAAAAACAATTAATGGTCCTGCAGCATCTATGGGTATGTCTACACTACCACCCTAGTTCGAACTAGGGTGGTAATGTAGGCAACCGGAGTTGCAAATGAAGCCCGGGATTTGAATTTCCCGGGCTTCATTTGCATATTGGTGGGTGCCGCCATTTTTAAATGTCTGCTAGTGCTGACTCTGTGCCGCGCGGCTACACGCGGCACGGAGTCCGCACTAGCAGACATTTAAAAATGGCGGCACCCGGCAATATGCAAATGAAGCCCGGGAAATTCAAATCCCGGGCTTCATTTGCAACTCCGGTTGCCTACATTACCACCCTAGTTCGAACTAGGGTGGTAGTGTAGACATACCCTTGGAGACTAACAAAAAATGTAGATGGTATCATGAGCTTTCATGGCACCAAACCCATCGCACTAGCAGACATTTAAAAATGGCGGCACCCGGCAATATGCAAATGAAGCCCGGGAAATTCAAATCCCGGGCTTCATTTGCAACTCCGGTTGCCTACATTACCACCCTAGTTCGAACTAGGGTGGTAGTGTAGACATACCCTTGGAGACTAACAAAAAATGTAGATGGTATCATGAGCTTTCATGGCACCAAACCCATTTCTTCAGATGAATGGAGCAAGGGATCCAGAAGTACAAATAAATAACAGGAAAAGAGGGGATAGGGAAGGAAAGAGAAGGGAAAAAAAATCCTTGTAATTATAGAGTGGCCGTGCTAAATGAGGCTAATAGGGTGGGCGTAAGTGCCCAATACTTCGTTTTTGATGTCATTAGGGTACTGAATGTAGCAGCCTATCCAGAGCAATGCCCCTCTGCCAGATATACTGGCCAAACTAGATAGCCTCCATGACAAAGGATGAATGGACACAAATCAGATATTCAAAATGGTAACACACAGAAACCTGTTGGGGAATATTTTCACCTGCCTGGGCACTCATTAGTGGATCTAAAAATGACTATACTATTCGAAGCAATTTAAAAAACCAGTTGGAAAGAAAAACTGTGGAACTTGCCTTCATCTGCAAATTTGACACCTTTAATAAATGTTTGAAGAAAGACATGAACTGGATAGGCCACTACATTCGATACCCTAATGGTATGCCTCATTCATCTGAAGAAATGCGTTGTGCCCAGGAAAGTTCATGATACCATTTATATTTTTGTTAGTCTCTAGGTACTGTAGCACCATTTGTTGTTTAAGTTTTTTCCCTGGTGCAAAGTTGAACGTGGAGCCAGATGTGGGAAATAAGCATGAGGAATTATAGGTGTACCCCAAACAGGGCCATGGCTTTAAAAAAAAAAAAAGTTCCTAATTCCTTAAATGTGAGGTTTTTGTCTACATTAAATTTAAAAAAAAAAAAAACTTTCATTCAAAATCAGTAGCTTATATTCTGCACTATGTTATACCGGGCATAAGCAGCAAACATTACATTACCATTTCAGCCTACCTCTCCTGTGGGGGACCTTGATAACCGGATATAAACACCCCATGGCTATTGGTGTGGCAGCACTCTCTCTTTCTTGCCAATTGCACAGCCATATTATATATATGGTACAAGCACTAGGAGCTTGTGTGTACACACGTGTTCTCTCTCTCTCTCTCCCTCTCTCTCTCTCTCTCTCTCTCTCTCTCAAACAAATGACTGTCAGAGTTCAAGATTTAAACATATGCACATAATATTTCCCATACACAGGCTCTCTCCTGAGTCTCACACACTTTTTTTTTTTTTTTTTGCATTATTTCCCTGCCATTTTCCTCACCTTATACATTCTCTCCATCCCCAACAACCTCTCTTGCACTCTCCAGTGGAAGAGGAGGGTTATTCCTGAGTTCCTTCCTTTCACAATAAAAGGCCTCTTTCTCTACCACTTCTGCCATCTGCTCAACTTTGCCTCATCATACATGCTGTGACATAACGCAACAGCCCCTTTCCATCCTCCTACTACTGCCACTGCATATTCTTAGCCATTGCTTCTTGAGCAAAGAACTGAGTGGGTTGTTCAAGCTTATATTGCTGTAAAAAGCTGAACCAACTATTGAGATGACAGCAATGATCAATAAAAGTTTCATTTTTCAGAAACAACAGTGCCCCCCCAAAATATGCAGAAGAAAGAATTTTACAACTAATTCTGCAGCCTGTTCATGTAGTACTTACTTGGTGCATTCTTCTAATGACTGTACAAGCATTTGCTGGTAAGAACTGATTTCTTCCAGGTTTCCCATTAAATATGAAGTATTTGCAGAGCTTAATCTGGAGCCAAGAAAAATAAAAAGAGCTTAGTAAGCAGCTACAAGCTCAAAAAAACCTGTATGCAATTTCACTTGTTTCTTCTTCAACCAAAAGTCCTATCTTTTACAACAAAAATATGTATTTACCATTATTATTTATTTGCATTAACATAGCACCTGGGAGCCCTAGTCATGGACCAAGGCCCTATTGTGCTAGCTAGCCACTGTACAAAGAGGACAAACCCACAGATCTTACACAATGATCTTATAATCACAGTATAAGAGTCAATGTCAAGTAGCTTCTTAAACTCTAATGCTTGTAAAACAAAAGTCTGGATCATACTAAAAACAAAAATCCAAGCCTTGGTTCATTTAAAACAAAACAAATCTCACATACTTTTCACTGACTTGTAATGGTCGCAGGTAGTTTGAAAGCATTGTCTGTAGTTCCTTAGCATATTCATTTTCTGTTTCTAAAATATTTTGTAGCACCTACAATAAATGCGACAATTAGTGACTACTTTTTTCCCAAGGAGATATTGCTAAAGATTAAAACTTTTTTGAAATTTTTTAGCATTTATAATAACTAACATAGTGTAAGTAAGACCATAAAACTTAGACAAAGAGCTAATAATCAGGTACTGAGTTAGATTCAGACACTAACAATGAGTTGTTAAATATTACACAGTGCTTCTATTAATCTTTTATCAGGTACTGTTTGAAAAATGCTTTTCCATCAGATGTCTATGTACAACAAAAGGAGGAAGCTCAAAAGAAGGTTTCATTATACTTGGCAAGAATGGCTCCTGTAGAATTTAGATACCTACTCACTGAGCTTTTTAAAAAGTATGAGACTATTATTGCTTCTTTACACTTTAAAATGACTGAGAGGTTATCAGAAAAGTACAAAGAAGTACAAAGAGTGAGCATCAGTCTTGAGTCCCTTGCTGCCATCTTTCTCTCTACTCGAATTGTTTCCTCAATCTTAACGATTAAGACCTATGCCCAATTTTGACTGCCAAAATTAAGACCCAATTTTGACTGCCAAAATTTGTTATTGAGCTTACTTGGAAGTGCAATTCTGTGTCTAAAAGGACAGCATACAAAAGTTACAGTAATTTTTAAACGGGCAATTTCCCACTTTACCTAGCAACCTGTTTAAACATACATTACAGCTTGCTGACTATGACTGTAGCCGCAGAACGCTATTGCAGAAAAGTTACAACAGTTTCAGACATAAAACAAAGAATATAGCATATGCTATTTTGTACATCATATTACCACCTGTAAATCAAGAGCAATAAAATAAGGAGTCATTTAAAATAACTTGAAATTCATACAGATGATTGCCCCAAAATATCCAAAAATGTATTCTGTTCAGAACTAAGAATATAAAAATGGACATACTGAGTGAAGCCAATGAGACCAGTTGGAAGACTGATTACTTTGGCCAGTGCCAGATGCTTCACAAGGAATGAACAGAACAAGAGAAGATATTAAGGAATATATTTCATCATCCAGTCCCAGCTTCTAACAGTCAGGGGTTTAAGAATACCCAGAGAATGTGGTTGATTCCCTGAGCTGATTTATTATAGAGGCTCTCCTTTTGTTAAGCAACCACAGTTTTGTAGCCCCTTCAAACGGATTTCATTGTGTCCAAAATGTCAACAGACACAGACAATATAAAACCAGAACTTGGTTTTGCTTAGAGGTGATTCAGCAACAGAACTGCCTTTCCTATTTGAGTTAAGTATACTTCTCCAGATTTAACTGTTAGAATGTTTATATGTAAGGAAACAGGCCATTTTTAAACTTTTCTGCCTTAAGAATCACAATTAGATTTGTTTTTGCTTTATAGAAACCAATATAAGATGGATGTGCTCTGGATAGTTCTGTGACTTTTAATGCATGGCATTAAGATGCCACATCACTTTCTCTCTTTTGTGTTATATTTGTCTATATTAATGTCTAATTTCATCATTTATAATAAGAACTGATCTAAATGCATTATTCACTGTTGTAGTTCATACTCTGCTTTAAAACATAAAAAAGCCATTCATGCCCAAATGCAAACCTGATGAAACAAATGACATCTGAACTATTCAAAATGAAGAATTCACTGTTTCTTTCATTGGTGTCATTGAATTCTGCTTTATCCCGTGAATGCTTCTATTCATCTGAAGGAAAAGAGACCACTTTCAAGTTCATTCTCTTGTTGGAGCTCTGAATCCTGACCCAAAGATTAAAATGTCTCCATTCTTTAAGACACCATGACAGAGGAAAGCCACAGAAAAAAAGCATTAGTTATTAATTGAGCAGCTACAACATACAGTACACCAGTGCACAAACTGTATGTGGAAATGAATGTATTAGTTTTAATGTATTTGGCAAGGGACTAAAAGATAAAACAATAATTGACCATTACAGAAGCACAAACAAGAGCGTACAAAGTTTCATACAAAACATAACAAAAAGAGTGCTGAAATAAAATACATAATAAATATAGCCATAGGTATTGGCACTCTAGGGGCTAAACCCAAAATTAAATCTTTCCAACATGGCTTTTCCATAAAACAACATGCACACAAACAAAAAAAACTTTCCAAAGCTGAAGAAATAGTAACGAAGATGACATCCTGTTGAAGCACTGAACCATTTTATAACATGCTCCAGTACCCAAAGTGAAAGAAATGTGCAGGCTAAGCTCCATATCATTGCAGTCTCTGACATAGCAAATACATTGTGAAACAGTAAACATTCAGTGTAATAACTGCCTGAAGATACGATTTAATAATATTAATCAGTATAGAGATTGCTTGAATTAAAAAAAAAAATTAAGGCAGCATATACAGTATTTCAAAATTTTATGAATCAATATGAAGCAGTACCTCCAGAAAATTGCAATGCATTGAATAGTAATCACTGTGCTGTTTTTATACAAACCAAAAAAAGAGAGAGAGTGAGTTACTGGATTCGCCTACTTTTCTTTAAATTATTCTGAAACTTTACTGGTCTGATGCAATGCTATTAGACATGCACATATTAATAAAAGTCAATTTAAATATATTAAAATTTCTCCATTAGTTGACTTTCCAGTCTCCACAAAAAATGCTGACTGTAACTGCATACAGCATTTTTATTTCTACTTTGAGAAGCACTTTTAAACCTTGTACACAGAGCTCTAAATGCCATTTTCTGTGTCTCCCTGCACCCAGCAACTTTCAGTATTACTCACCTCCCTCACAATGAAGTTGTGAGGATTAAATGTCTGTACGGCACTTCGAAGATATAAAGTTCTATAAAGTGTACAGAGTATTACAGTGCCTCCCCAGAGCACTCTTTAATTCCTAATCTCATCATCATGCCCGTATTCTCTAATAATCACCTTTCTCGCATTTCCTGCTTTCTGCATGTTCTGGCTGCTGCAAGACCCCATGAGACCTCAAAGACCTTGTTCTCAAAGCTCCATCACAACATTTGCACAGATAAGTGTAGGTACCAAAGGAACGGGTCTTATTCATTGAAAGGGCAGCTTTTACAATACATAACACTAATGAATGGCATAGAAAGCTGAGCTCATCCAGTGCAAGCTTTCCCTTAGTCACAAGGCATGGAAAAAATCAAGCGTGGTTAACAGTTCTGTCACATAAACCCAGTAACCTCCCTAAGGGAAAAACTATCCCCCAAAAAATGGATTTAAATGACCTACATAAAACTAAACAACTTTCAAACCACATGAAAACAAAGTCAGACTTCGTTACAAAATTGAAGGACGTGAGACATGTTCTCATTTTGACAAACAGCTAACACCTTGCTCATCTAAAGCATCACCTCATTATAACAAAGAATCATCATTGTGCAATTTGCTCATGTCACTGGAACTGGAAAAGTGACATCCTCAAACATGAGTTCCTAAGCAGGGTATGCAAATGTTGCACATGCACAAATTTTGCATCTATAAGCAAACAAAGGGGACTGTCCAGAACTATTGTCCACATGCAAATGACAGCTTAGAAACTTTGGCCTTATAGAAAAAAATAATGTAAAATTAAAATTGCAAAATGAACTATTTCTTTACCTCTTTTCTCAAAGCTAAAACAGTCACTAGAAATCTTTCTCTCCTTGACTTTGTGCTATCTGTATATAGCAATTATCTTATAGACTTAAATAACGGAGGAATAATTCTTAACTCATTAAACTCTATCTACTATATATTTGAGAGATTTTGTGTGTTTGTCTGCTCAAGAACTCCTCCTAACCCGAAAGAGTTAGGACCACTGTATTTGGTATGCAGATTCCTCTTATCCTAACTTAAAGCAAGGTCAGGGTTTGGTTGTATTATGAGAATGAGATGTACCTGAAATGGAATTTCTTTTCATAAAACTATACCGAAAGACAGAATCACCAGGAAGGTGAAAGGGGCTGGAAGAAAGCGTGCCCCCTACACCTCCCCTCCCTTGTGTGGGACTTACCCAGTCCTGAGCCTACCACCCTCCAGGCACCCTTTCGGAATGGGGGAGGGAGGGTAGGGAGCGCTCCCTCGACCCAATCCATACGGGAACACTGCTGGCTGTTCCCCTTCACCAGGGAGCTAGGGCAAAATGCATACTTTGTTGCATTAATCATTCTGACTGGGGAATGTAGGAGGGCAGACAAACCTGGACCTGCCCCAACAAGGATTAGGGAAGGCATGGGGCCCTCAAGCTTCACCCTTCCCATGTATACGGGGGCACTGCTGGCTGTTCCCCTTCATCAGGAAGTGAGGGGAAAGTGCACAGTTTGCTGCATTCCACACTTTGGCTGGGGAGTGTAGGGGCCAGAGGAACCTGGACACGCCCACTACAGCTGCAGTAGCCATGGAGAGGTTCTTCTCACCTGGCCGCAAGCGGCTTCAGTGAGAGATGGCTGTCCTCTCTTCCCAGGAAAGCCTGCACACTGAACCCCTCATCCCCAGCCCAACTCCAGAGCAATGATTTAAATGAAGAAAAACAATAATGAATTGAGTTAAGGACCTGAGCAATACTGGGTAAATCTTCTAGTTGTATAATAATCAACTACCAAAAGGTGAAAGTACAAATAATGTATTTCTTTAAAAGCCTCTCCTTCAGGGATTCCATGTGATAAGATGCCCACTTCGTAGACACTAGTTATTTATTTATTTTTCATTGAAGAAATTTATTTCATTGTTAATTCTACATTTGGTTCATATTATGTAGATCTTTAATATCTTTATGTGCTAAGATGGAAGGGCTGTGCATCAATACATTCTCTGCAATTTATATATTTCTCTGCCAAGCATACATCTTGTCCTGCATACTTAATCACAGTGTTATATGTACTAAATAAAAAACTTACTTTGAGATCAGAATATATGAAAGCAGTTTATTAAGTGCAGATGGTGCTCTATAAATTGATAAAATAAAACAACACGATCAAGGAAGAGAGGCTGGAATATTTGTGGGAACAGCCTCTGGCCACCAGATTATGAGATTTTTCCACTGCCCTATTCTATCTTGGAAGTGGAATTGGCAACGTTTCACCCACCATATGATGAGCTTACTCTGATCTGCACTTTGGCTCCTTCTTCTTTCCAAGAGGGCTGTCTAGTGTCACAACTCTTTCTCCCAAAAAAACCATAGGATCCATAAACTTACTGTGAGGGTTGAACGTAAGAATGACCATACTGAGAGTCAGACCAAAGGTCCATCTAGCCCAGTATCCTGTTTTCCCATAGCGGCCAATGCCAAGTGCATTTATATAATTCCAAGTGGAATTATATGTCATTACATTTTAGTTGTAACTGAATTTTAAATGTGAAACAATAGCTTACGATATTCTTAAAACAGCACTTCACAGGTCTTTGGGGTGCATATGAAGTAACACAATGTTACACAATTCCACGTACAGAAAAGGCAATCATCAAGTTATCCCTCCCGTGTCACCCATTCCCAGCTTCTGGCAAATGGAACCTAAGGACACCATCCCTGCCCATCTTGGTCAACAGTCATGGACCTATCCTTCATATATTTATTTAGCTCTTTTTTAGACTCTGTTATAGACTTGGACCTCACCACATTCTCGGGGAAGGAGTTCCACTACCTGACTGTGCATTGTGTGAAGCAATACTGCCTTTTGTTTGTTTTAAACCAGCTGACCATTAATTTAATTTTGTGACCCCTCTAGTTACTGTGTTACGGGAAGGAATAAGTAACACTTTCATATTTACATTCTCCATGCTAGTCATGATGTTATAAAACTACCATATCCCCACTTAATTGTCTCTCAGGGTACATCTACACTTGCTCCCTAGTTCGAGCTAGGGGTGAAAATGTAGGTGACCAAAATTGCTAATGAAGCTGGGATTTAAATACCCCGTGCTTCATTAGCATGATCTCGCTGGCGCATTACTCCGCTCAACAGCTGATTTGAACAAGGAAGTGCACACCAGGACGCGCTAGTTCAAATCAAGGGGTCTGGTTCGAACTAACGTGTCCCGGCGCGCACTTTCACTTTCGAAAGCAGCTGTTGAGCGGAGTAATGCGCCAGCGAGATCATGCTAATGAAGCGTGGGATAGTTAAATCCCTGCTTCATTAGCAATTTTGGTCACCTACATTTGCATCCCTAGCTCGAACTAAGGAACAAGTGTAGATGTACCCTCAGAGATTTCCTCTATGAATCGATACATTACAAGAACCACATTACAAAAATCCCCAGGAGCACCACCACAACTAAGCTTGCCAGTTTCAAAACACATCTAGTTGCTGTAGAGATAGACGGCCCTGAATGCACGTGGATCTGAACATATTTGTTTTGTTTGTTTTTAATTCACACTGAAGTTTTCAGCCTAGAAATGTCAACCACTCCATCCAAGATTGCCCTGTTTTTAGTCTCTTGGGATTGGCTCAAATTCATTAGCAGCACAGAGAGATGATGAAATATCTGACATAGGAGAAGGGAAGTACAGTGACTATGTAAGTGTGACTGACCATCAAAAAGCAGAAAGTTACAGCTAATGTTGGAAGATTATTTTAAAAACACAATCTGACTACTTATATGTCTTTTCCCGGTCCTTAAAGGCACACAGTATACATTTCTTTCCTCTGTAGCCTTCCACAAAGAATAACCCATTTATCAAACCTTCCTAGACACCACTACAGTAAACTTCCGATAATCC